AAGTGGAAAATGATGAGTCCCGAAATTTCAAACTAGAAAATGATTCGATCATTCAACAGAATAAATGGAAAGTATGGAAAAAGGGCTGGAATCGTACGTACAGTTCCAAGGTTCTGAATTCAAATTACTGAAATTATCAGCTGGCATGGAAAAACAGAAGATAAAGAAGGACCCTTTTTTTCCCATTTGACAGGATTGTTGAAGCAAGTTGCTTTCCTTTTAACTTGTTCAAAGATTTTATATTCTATCATGTCTGAATATTACTTGTTAGAACTTAGAATGGAAGAAGGGGGAAAGGAACAAGAAAGGGTGTTTAATTGGAATTGGTCAGCTGTGTTTAACTTAACAAGCTGGATTGGTCATTGGTTTTTAACAAATCCCTTTTTTCTTGTCCCTTTTACATTTTGTATTGCTTTGGACAAAATTGTTCCACCTTAGTTCAATCTTTAGGCTCCACGTTACATTTTTGAGTTTCAAAGAAATGATTGCAAGTAGCCTTTCAAATGAAAATAATTTCTATCTATGCAAATTCTATGGACCGTGAGAATGAAACAGGAATATGAAGACTGCCTAAAAGACAATGTTAAAAAAGTAAAATTTTAAGTTAATAATATAATCAAAATTCATGTAATCATTTTTAAAAGATAATATTTAATAAAAATTTAAATTTAAATATTAACACTTATAATCTAGTTTATTTTAAAATTTTTTTGTTAAAAAAATTAATAATAATAGTAATAATCTTCCCTGTATCATGAGTTTAAGGAGCAAAATCCACCAGCAAGTATCTCATTGCATTGAAGATTCTGTTGAGAGTGCGATGCCTTAATCCTGCGTTGATTACATGCTGCCTGCTACACGTGTTGGCGATTCGATAGCTCCTACCACGAGAGTGCTGCAATCAAACAGTGAAAAAAGTGTAAACCAAATAAAAGCATTCGATCCAAAGTAGCACAAAGATGAAAATTGGGGTTGGCTTACTACTGGTAACCTGAATAATTACAGCAATTTCTATAATTGGGTATTGATAATTGCAAAGACTTGTGAATTAGAGAGTGTGATCATGACAAGTTATGTTATCAGATAGTAAATCCAAAGAATTGATTAACCGTTAGCATTATGATTAACAAAGGAGCTGAAAACGATGATTAGCAGGCAGGCAGGGAGGCAGGCAATAAGAGGGTGTATTCAGGTAATTAGAAGTAAGATGTTCCGGAGATGGCAGTGTGTGAGGTGGGTGGGTTGGGAAATGGAGATTCTTGTTTGTTTGTTTATGAATCGGACAAGGACTTAGCAACGGAGGCGTCTGCGATATGCACTGTCACCAAGGGTGATTGAAGCCTACAAGAAGCAAAAAGAGATAGCAAGTGGGCCTTTCCAGTTTTTCTGGCAAATCTCACAAAACCGCAATAATGGAGACTCAATGAATAGCTTTAGTGATTTGACCACACAGCGCTCTCAATCACCCTAAAAAAATCAACCCCAAACGCTAAGGTGATTAAAACCATTTTGGATTTACCCTTAAAAATACCTTAGTAGACGTGGTTTTGTAGTCTTGTTGACAGAGATTTGGTTTTAAATCATGATACATCTCCATATAATATCAATGAACTACATCACACTCAAAGCATCAGTGTCAATTATTAGGGTGCGGTGGACCTTACCGTTGGATGGTTGGATACCATGACATCAAAGGGATGGAGTTGGGATTTGCAGAAGAGAAACAGACCGAAAAATCTGTGTACTTTAACATTATCGTGTGCTTATCAACTGTCCTTCTCTATATCTACCATACAAAGCTACGGATTTGCTTTGCAGAGAAGTCTATGGTACCAAGAGGGTAGGCCGTAGGCCACTGGTGCCGTCTAGTAAGAGGCTAAGAGCTAACCGTCTTCGTTTATATCTGCAATGTCAGGAATGGATGGAGTTGGACAAATCATTGCGAATGGGTCCCCCACCAAAAACCAAAGATCGAAGCAATCAGATGCCAATAAGCATCTCTGATTCTGTCTGATCGTTCAGGAGATTTTTTGGTAAGAAAACTGATGACTCCAATTCCAAGGACTCAGTTTCAGCTACTTGTCCGAGTCAGGACTGCATTGTTTTGATACCGGAGGTGTCCTATTGGTGGCTCTACTCCACTACATCACAGCTAGCTCATTGATTATCCCAAGCTTTTTGTTGGCAAGGCTCGATGAGAGATATAAGGCCTTGTTTGCGTTTGAGCTCACAAAGTCGGGAAAGAGAAAGCCAGAAAAGGAACCGTACTTGAGATATCCTAGATGGAAAGAACCGGGTTTAGCGGATCCTGTCCAGTGAGCAAGGAAAAGCCAAAACAAGCACCAAAGACAGAGAGATGAAAAGAGAGGTGTGATCCAAAGCTTCTCTTGTTCTTTACTCCTAACTATAAAACATTCACTAGCAAAAACAACCTTAAAATGGTTTTGCTTTGAATATCAAAGCAAGATTATATATTGAAAAGGAAACCCTGAACTCACAAACAAAGAGAATACCTATAAAAAATTGAGAAGCCTTTTTAATTCATGAAAGATGCTTTATATGGAAATTGAGAAGGATCAGGAAAATGATATTCAAAAATAAATTAAATTGCTAAGTCTAAACTCCAACACAATGATAGTGTTGGAGAAGCCTATTGGCTTCCCTAAGACCACTAAAATAAGCTCCATGGGTTGCAGAATAATGGGTTCTGTGTGTGTCCTCCCCAGCAAACAAATTTTGATTGGATGCACACCAGCTGACTCACAGCTCCCAACCTTTGGCAATGGCTCAGCCATTGTATCCAAATCGGCACCACTTGATCCAACCGCAACATAACTGTAAGATCCCAAGAATAGAGGATCACTACCCCATTGCTCTTCAAAACCTTGACAAATCTTGCTTCACTTTCAGTAGGGTTCTCAACAGATTTCACATTCCCATTGCAGAATTCATGGGAAATATTAGAATTCACTTCCTCGTGGGATTGTGATAACAAACTAGAAACTGTTGTTGATACTCCATTTATAATCTCTTCTTCACTAAGTGTTTCCAGCTCAAGAGCCTCTTTCCCTGCAAACCAACATAGCAGGATGCTTGAATTGTTATAAATAGGAGACAGAGAAGCTGTCCTCCTCATCCACCATGGGATCTTTTTATGCCTCAAGTCGGAGCCTGAAGGATTAAAAACCATTTGCAAGGAAGGAAACTTGCCCATATCATTGGCTTTCGATTACCAGTTGGACTCAATTGGAGAAACAACTTGTTAACAACACCAAATCCAAGTCTTGATATAGCCTCTGTGTTGAAAGAAGGAAGGGGAGGATTTAACATACCTGAATCTTGCGAAGTTCCAGCTTTTAGGACCCCTATTGACATTGTGACTACCACATGATCAGCTGACATAACCGATCCATCACAGAAGTGTATCTTCACAAGCCTGGAATCGTAACCATTTGCCATTTCTACAGATTGATGACCATCATGTTGCCATTCAATTCTTGTGACTTTGCGGCCTAATTGAATTACACCGGGAGGAAGAGCAGATGCCAGATCAAATCAAATTTATAAAAATTCACTCCCATCCAACTCATTGGCATCTCTTATCGCAGCATAGGACCCAAAATGGTCTCCGTAGCTTCACGTGCACTTAGAAAATGCCAAAAACTGAGGACTGATGAGGTTAAAATCCAAAAGGCGAGTCAAAAATAAATAAACTTTTGTTTTTCCAAAATTTTCCTTTACTATTAAAAAATTCTAGGTTGTATTTTTTTTAAATTTTACAGAGAGCATCTAGCTTTGTTTTTTTTTTTTTTTTCTTAGTAAATATTATGGTATCAAAATCATCGTTTCCCAATCGTTGTCGGGTTTATGTTTCTTTTTGTGTCTCAATTACGTCATGTCACAACTTTTTTCTCAAATGAAATTGATTGTCGTAATCCAAACTATAGTACCTATTTTCATATTTCTAAAGTCATTTTTTCCTTTAATCTACTCTCTCCCTTGTTTATTACTCTGCATTATGCAAGATTGGTTGCTTTATATAGTTTTGACCTTTATCTAACTATTTTCTTCAATTTAAGATTGAAATCTTAGGAGAATCTACAAAATACTCTTATTTTTTAATATAAAAAATCATAATTTAAAAATATGAACTAAGATGATAAAAATAATTTGTAATCGATAAGTTTCAATATGATAAAATTAAATTTTTTAAAAAATTGGAAATAGAGTGAATTTTTTGTTTTTAAAGGTTGGGCTTGATTTAAAGTTGGATTTTAGGTGGCCTCATCTCGAATTGATTCGGATAGTATATATATATATATATAAATATTTTTATTATTTATTTAATTTTATATTTATATATATATTATATTAATAAAAATATTATTTAATATTTTAATTTAAGATATTAATTTAATAAAAATATTATATTTATATATAATTAATATATAATCTATATTAAAAATAATATTTTATAAATATTGTATTAAATTAAATTTATTAAATTAATTTAGAATTGGATCGATTAGGTTTATGAATAAATAGATCAAATTGAGTATAAAAAATAATATTTTAATATCAAATCAAATTTAAGTATAAATATTACAATATCAAAATCACAATTAAGTCAAGCAAAGATCTTTTTTAATTCGAATTGTTGTCATCTAGATATAAAATAAATTATAAGTGTTATGATTTAAATTTAAATTTATTAATTTATCAAATATCATCTTTTAAAAATGATTGCATGATATACTCTATACTCTGCACTCTTCAGCCATCAACCGTCCACTTGTATTGCTATGTACTAGGTTTAATATCCGACCCTTAATTTTAGTTCCTAAGAAAGGTATATATTTAGTTTATCTGATTGAATGTTACTTTATTGGTTAATTCGTTTTATTACGAAAGATCAACCATTCTTCTTTTTTTTTTTTTTTTTGGCAAAAAAGGACAAGCATTCTTATTGAGTTATAACGGCATATAAAATGAATTGATTTATCATTGATATATGTAGTATCAATTTCAAGCCTAATGGCCTTTTAGCTTTCCTTCCCAAGCAAATTTCTATTAGGAAAACCATTTGAATATACAAATATGTCTTAAATCCTTCATATGAATTACCAAAAATAAGCCAACAACATCCCTTCAAAGAAAAGTTTAGAACCTAAAATACCAATTAAGCTTTGAATTGATCTAGTTATAGAATGACATTCAGACATGCCAACGAGGCTCCAAATTCCAGCGACCAGACAAGAACCCATAAGTCGAGAAGTACCCTGGAAGAATCCTTTCATTCAATATTTCAACTACAAACCTTTGGATCGGAGGGTAGAACTTTTACACCGGTGAAGCCAGGTGTGTGTATATGATGTCAGTCTTCAATCAGTGTTAGCACTCACAAAATATCAAATATCAGAAAATCTACAATCACTAACAATCTGGTCTTCAAGCATATTCATAATCAGTGCAACACTAACATTCTAACATACTCATTAAGTTAACCAGGAAATATTCTGGCCTTCTTCCTTCCAATCTCATCAATCACGACTTTGACGCGCATGAAATGACATGTGACTTGAATATCTCAAGCTCTGCTAAAACCTCCTCCTCGGGCCTGTAGATCAGATCACTCATGCGCCATATCTGCAGATCATCATTTAGCATTTCAATAACTGTAATTTCATTCAAATTTAATGCATTTCTTTCATTGAAACAAAACAAACACATGGAACGAGATAGAAGTAAAGAATAAGGAACAACTCATGGGTGCAATTGGGCTGTTGAAGCCAATATGTGAAATAAGGCTCCTTCGAAAAATCAATTCCATCAAATTGGAGGGAACTTCATAACCAAGGGCAAAGGAATGTCATTACAAGCAGTTTCAGGTATAAGCATTTACTGCCAGCAATACCCATGATTCAAATTCCCATAACCATAAGCAACATGTTTTGTGTTGTCGGCTGGGAAGTGGAGTATCCTGAACAGTTTTACGAATGATTATTGTAATATGCATGCCGGGTAATGCTCTTGTGCATTGCTTTTGACTTATCATCATGTCATCTGTTTTATCTACCTTCACACTCACAGTAATAATTTGAACTGTCTCAAGAAAAAAAATTGCTTTTTTTTATTCTGACACAGAACATTTACATGTGTAACTAGTAATTATACCTGCAATGTCCCTCCTCCACCAGTGGTATCACAGTCATCAGACACACTAACAACAGTCCACGGATCAGATGCATTCCAATGGAAGTCAACAACTTTGTCCCTATACAAAAATTAAAAGATTGAAAGGGTTATGGAAATCAGATAAAGTCAAATTTAAAAACTGTCAAACAGAATTTTGAAGTGTTGCAAAATTTTCAACTCAAACATATATTAGGGAAGACCAAATTCTGTGCAAGAACAATCAAATGTGTGGTCTTCAATGGACATAAGGAACTTGTTCTCATAAACCAAAACTTGTTTGCATGAGGTGCATAAACACATATAGTCTTTATATTCCACCAGTGAAACCAAAAAGTTTTGTACATGATTTAGAGATGCCTCAAGATTAGTTTCATGACATATCAAATTAGCTAGCAATTGCATTATTGTAACCACTTTTTCTTCTTTTTTTTTTTAAATAAAAGAAACTTCATGAAGGACAATGTTGTCGATGTATAAACCTCTCTATTAGGTGGAACATTACTCTACAGAACATCAATAGATAAAAGGATAAGGTGTTAAAACTTTTCTACATAAATAAATGTAAGAAATAAAGGTTTAGCATGATACTTTTAGCTGTACGTAGCAAAGATCATTAAGGAAACCAGTTTAATGGTGCAAGTTCAAAGGATAAGAAAATAGAAGAGGAAATAATGTGAAATGCATATTGAGATTAAGACATAGATGATGTGGTTCAAAAGAAGAGTCCAAATACATGCTATATCACAAACTGAAAAACAATTGCAAACCTGTGCCCAGCATGCTGGAAGAACAGTCCAGCAGGAGTGTTAGGAGATTTTGAAGCACGTTCCACCTTTTTGCCAACCTGCAATAGAGACGCGCAAGTGAAACCAACCACACTGTCAGCAGTAGCAAGTACAGTTATAACAATCCAAATAAGCAACGTGTCTTAAGTAGGATTTGAAAGGTAAGGAGAATATTTTCTCCTACTAACGAAGCCAAGGCAAAGCCTTTAACCATGTTATACAAAAATAATTATACAAAAACAAAAGTAAAAGTCGAGAGAAAGAGAAAATAAGGTGACTGATAACTAAAAACTCATAATCAAAATGCTTAGCTACTTGCAATTACTTTATATCCTCTTTCACTGATTGACTTTCAAATTATTAAGTTATAGTTGTAACATAGACATAGCAACAGGGCTTGATTAATGAGGACAAAGAACTTGGTAATCTTTTTCAAGCCATCATTTCTTTCATAAATATACTCCAATCCTAGATAGGTAGGAACCAAAATTGCAACTCCCAAACCACATCCTCTTTTATTTGATGAGTTAACTTTCCTAAAATTGACTGTGTGAAAATCTAAAAACTAATTCCATACAGAATTATTCTTGCAAACTTTAAAAAAAAAAAAAAAGGATCAGCAGCATACAGATACTACACTGTTAAACACATATGCATAGCCAAGTATGTCATCTGTGTCACATGCATCCATGTTGTATCTTGTATGCAAAGGCAATTAGCCGGATATAGACCAAGCAATCACACCTTGTCATAATCCCAAATGCTTAAGAGCCCATCCTCAGCAGAACTACCAAATACAGATGACTTGTCTGGAGACCACTGGACCATGAGAAATATAAATTTGGTAAGAACAGTTACATGTGAACACCTATCGTCATATTTATAACAAAATAGGAAGTAGAGCATATAGAAATGATCAGGTTTTTTACACCTGCACACAAAGAACAGCAGCTTTGTGACCCTCAAATTTATAAATGGGTAACCCTACTCCATTAGAAGTGAGATTTCTTCGATCAAACATACGAACAGTATTATCTGCTGACCTGAAAGATCAACAAAGTAAGACAAATAACGTTTTAGTGTTTAACCATCATTGTAAAACATGAAGCACTAGCACACTCATACTGTTGCCATATTTTGATACCAAAAGAAAAGTGCAAAACTGATACAAACTCGAATGGAGACATACCCAGTCAGAACAAGATTATCATTGTGGGGATTCCAATCTACACAATGAAGATCAGCATTATGTGCCTTTTCAACCTGTCAACAAAAAACCGACAATTTAACTTAAATCATCAGAAGCATCAGCATATTTAAAATTCAAAATTACATACAAGCAAATATTAACAATATCGTAAAGAGAAACATGAAGCTTTGGTTGATTCACCTAAGAGGAATTCATGAGTGGAGAAAGAAGCTAAATGGTAGGCTTTCTGATATCAAATGATTCAAATCACATCCTCTCAAAAATGATTTGGTACAGACAATGGTCAAGAGAATCAAGTCCCAGACAGAAGGAACATCAATGTACAACTAGAATCATAAAAGCAGCCAACCAAACTTGCAACAAGTTTCTGCAAAGGATTTGAATAAGTGGCATGGCATTACAGTCCTACCCATATAAACAGGTAAAAGAAGGTGCAAAAATGATGCTACTTCATTCACTGATTCAAATCATACACATCATCCTCTCAACTATAAACCACTTTACAGATTGCACTCAAAAGCAAAGATAGATTCAAATTAACAGGAGCAAGGATCACCATGAATACTTAAGATTTTTACTTTTCACCTTATATGCTACTCTTTAAAACTTTCTTTTCATGAATATATTTAGTTTTCATCCAAAGTAATTAAAAATGAAAAAGAGAGGAATTAAAGGGGAAAAGGGGAACCCCAAGCAGTTATTATTGGGAAAAATAATTATTAAGAGGAAATTTACCTTGACAGTGGGGCTAGTGCCAACTCGTGCATCCCAAAATATGAGGCAGGAATCATCACCTACACTACAAAACTCCTGTGCACTTCAGTAGACATAAAAAAAATTGTCAGAAATTAGAGCCCTTATGAACATCTTCAAAAGTATCAATTCAAAAGCCATAACTACAGTGGAAGAGAAAATAATGAAAAAGCCATTAAAGATATAAAAAAAAAATTGTCAGAAATTAGAGGCCTTATGAACATCTTCAAAAGTATCAATTCAAAAGCCATAACTACAGTGGAAGATAAAATAATGAAAAAGTCATTAAAATAAACTCGCCTTTACATGAAAAGTTTGACGTGAACTGAAGAAGAATAAATAATAAAGAATTATGTGCATTTAGATTTTATCCAAGAGAAAGCAGCAACCTGGATGGACAGAATGTGACATCTTCAACTGTATCCTCATGCCCACAGAAGATACCACGAGGACCTACAGAAGGCCCGTTGGGAGCTTTATCATTACCTTCCTCAGGCTTGTTCTGTCTGATGATTGACCCACCAGATCCTGGAGATTTGGTTGGGTCTGTAGCTGTTGTTGTTATGTGGTCCTGGATACTCCATAAAACCACTGATTTGTCCTTCCCTGTCATAAAAGTCCTCTCATTAAGAAGAAAATCCCATCACATGAATGAGATTCAGTTTTGTTGAGCCAATTTTAAAAAAGTATAACAACCATTCTAGATGAGTGACCTCAAAGTAAAGTTATGCAGTTATGCACTAGAAAAGAGTAAGACATACCATAGAGCACAATCTGATAGACAATAACTTCCTAAATGATAATGAAGCTATTTCAAACATATCATACCTTTTATATGAGAAATGGCATATTCAGATCGAGAATTATATAATTTTAACTTCATTACCACTCTGTAAAAGGAAGATAATGAATTCCAGCATCTCATGAGCATATCAAAGAGATTTATACTAAATATATCAATAAAAGCATTATCTCCAAGCAAGTATATAGTTCATTGAATGATGAAACTTCCCAACCTCCAGAGAGCACATAGGGTTCAGTGGGACACATTGCAAGAGCAAATTCTGCATTATCTTGATGTCCAGTCAAAATCTGACAAAAGAAAAAAAAGTCATCAGTGAAAAACAGTTCATTCATGAGAAGAACACATACAAGTAGTACATAGATAGCTTTTACTAAAAACATCACTAAAAATTTAAAACAAACATACCAAATCTGGGCGAGAATTTGTTGCTCCAAGAACAGCATGACGGTTAGGTTGAGCTTCAACATCCCAGATAAGAACCTAAATTTCATCAAGTCACGTGTTGGGTAGACTTTAACAAGAAAACACAACAGAAATATTGGCACCACATAATTTAACAAAACAAATATAACAAGAGTCTTACATCAGGACTATCAGTGTGAGTGGCCACAATCTTAGAGTTCTGTGGAAGTTCCCTGATTCTGTTCACCTACAAGATAGTATTTGGCAGTCACAACAAAATAAACTATCATAAAGAAATACAAAGCAACAGGATAAAATGAATATTACAAAAATTTAAGGTTATACATTGAAAAAGGAATTTAAGCAAGCAGAATATATATTTCCCACTGATGTCATACATCAAAGCATGGATTATATTTTAATGTCACATCTCATAAAAAAGAATTACATTGTCAAATCAAATAGCGTCTCATTACATAGAGATAGTTGAGTTCCAACGAAACTGTTAGTGTATATGTCAGCACACGACTTGACATAAACACATTTATTTGTTTAGCATATGCAAGATCTGTACCTCTCCAGGATGGATAATGGTCTTGTACTTCTTCACGAATGGTGATCGAGCTTCTTCATTAAACTGAAAGATATAGCATTCATGTGAATAAAGTGAAGAAAGATGCATGCATCAGTATTGAAGTGCAGAACAAGGAACCATGGAAATGAGTTACCTGAGATATGTGCTCAGCAGCAGCAACACGAGGTTTGACAACTTCGCAATTCGCAATCACAAGAGTATTTGGAACACTACCATCAGTCTGGCATTACAACATAAGACAATAACCAAAAGAAAAGGTTTCAAAATAGATGAACATTTTTTCCCAAGAGAATGAGTTAAGTAAAATAATTTAACTACAAACTTATCAAACTTCAGCATTGTTCTACCAAGTTTTTTTTGTAAATTCCATTAACTTGAACAGTACTAACGTGATGCATCTATTGCTGTTAATAAATTAAGACTCCAGAATGAGCATTTTTGTTATGTAAAACTGACACATCAAGCAACCAACAAAAACTGAAACAAGAGATTCCTTCCATTGAGTTTGCAATTTATGTCCAAGCCCTGTTTAAGGACAAGAAAAAACTCCTAAGAGGGAAATACACTTGCCTGTTCAGAGAGGTAGAGACGCTGGCGATTCTTGTAAGTAGCTTGCTCAAGCTGTGGTCCCCAGCTGTTCAAACCCGAATGAAGCTATCATCAAGAAATATGAAAAAGAAGGAAAAAAAAAAGAAAAAGGAGCTAAATTGCTAACAGTCTAACACAAAATTGAAGCAAAGAAAAGCTATCTTCGTTCCTTCAGCAACTACAAACAGATAGTGCCAGCCATCTCACATTTAAAATACAAGATCAATAGTTACAGGATAAAAGAATGAAAACAGATCAGCAGCTCAGCAAGAGTCCACTAGGGTTTACCATAAAAAATTTAGGATATTTAGAAACAAACACAACAACCCAAATAAACCCTAAGCGAAAAAATAATATCTTTTATAACAACAGAACAAAAAACTCAAGCGTTTGCAACGAAAAAGACCAAAAACCCAAAAACCCAAATACCGGCAAGAAAGAGAAGGCCAGACGAGATTGTGATTAGCAAGCCAGTCATAGAGGACAGGGACCAAAGACTTCCACTGAGTGTACTTCTCATCAACGCTTGGTTGTTGGGCTTTCTTTCCTTCTTTCATTTTGCCAGCGCTTTGCTGTTGTTGCTGTTCTTTCTCGTCCTTTGGCTTTGGTTTTCGGCCTCTCTTCTTGGGCTGCTGTTGTTGAGGTTGGGGAGACTCCATTTTTGAGATTGGGAATGTTGCTGGTACTTTAAAAGCAAAGAAAGCAAAAAAAAAAAGATTGGTTTCCGGGGACCCGAGACCGGACCCTACTGGGACTGTGATGGGGTTTGGAAGAGAATGGGAGTGACAAAAAGTACAGTAAAAATGGTTGTGAGGGTTTTTGTTGGGTTACGCTCTTTGAAGTAGAATGATGTACACGCGGCAAGCTGGTAGAGGCAGAACCGGTTCAATAGGGGCTCTCGCTATTCAACCCCTAACTCTCGTGTATAGGGATTCAACCATTTAGATTTCACTGGTCAAGGATTGGGACGTCCCCGTTTCATCTGAGATGTTAGAGTTTGCAGGGGCCTCCAAGTGGCTACATTTGGCAATTCATGGGTGCTTGCCAGCTTGCTTTAAGACTGCAGCATTTAGTAAATGAAAGTTGGAACCCAAAGACCCCGGGTTACTTTTTCCTTGTGGTTAAATGCATATTTAGCCCTTAAATTTTATATTTTTTATTATATTAATATTTAAAAAATTATAATTAGTATATTGATATCCAAATTTTTATTTTGTTATTATGTTAGTACTTATAATTAATGTTGTTAGTTAATTTTATTAACATATCATAAATATTTGATAAGATATTAATACATATAAAAAATATTCAATCAATATTACATTATCAATGTCATATTAATATAAAAAAATTTTCAAAAAAAAACTAAAATTTATGAAATATTTGAAAATAATTTTTAAAATTTTTTGAAAAATTCTAAAAAATCTTTTTAAAATTCTTAAAATTTTTGAAAATTTCTAAAAAATTTTAAAATGTGAAATATTTTATAAATTATAAAAGTTATCATAATTTGAAGAATTAAAAAAGTTTTGAGAATTTTAGTAAAAATAAAAAAATGAAAATTTAATAAAAATTAAATTTTCTTAAAGTTGAAAAAATCACAAAAACTTAAAAAATTGAAAATAAAACAAAATTTAAGAATTTTTGAAAAATTAAATAATTTCAAAATTTTGAAATACTCTTTATAATTAAAAAATCTAAAAAATTAAAATTTTAATATAAATAAAAAAATTTTCAAAAAAAATTAAATTTCAAAAAATAAATCCACAAAAAATTAAAATTATAAGAATAAAAAATATGAAAAATTTTCAGAATTTGTTAAAATTTTTTTTTGAATTTTATATTTTTTCAAAAAATTTGTTATTTTTTATTTTAACTATTTTTAAGTTTTTTTATTTTAAGAAAATTTAATTTGATTAAAATCATCAATCTTTTATTTTTTAGATTTTTTTTAAATTTTTTTTGAAAATTCTTTAGTTTCCTTAATTCTTTTAGAATTTTTTAAAAATCTTTTAGAATTTTTTAAAAAATTTAAAATTTAAAATTTTTTTGAATTTTATAAATTATTTTAAAATTTTTATAATTTTGAAAATTTTATAGAATTTAAAAAAAAATTAGAATTTTTTAAAATTTTTAAAATTTAAAAAAATTTTATACTTTTTAAGATTTTTTTAATTTAAATACTTTTTAATTTTCTAAATTTTTTAAAATTATTTTAGTATTTTAAAAAAAATAAAATTTTTTATAATTTTTAACATATTTATACTTTTTTAGAATTTTTAAAAATTTTCTTTTAATAATGATGTAACATTAATGATATAATGTTGATTAAATTTTTTTTAACACATGTCGGATGTTCATATTATGTTAGCAAAACTTACTAATGGTATTAATCCAAGATACTAACATGATAACAAATTGAAAATTTGGATACAAATATGACAGCTATAATTCTTAAATATCAATGTGACAAAGAATATTAAGTTTGGGGGACAAATATATATTTAACCCTTTTCCTTACCATCCCCGAGGACATATTTTCTTAACATTGCAGAAGAGAGAGCCACAATGCATTTTGACCACCTAGTTCCGGTTGGCACAACACTTAGCTTTTTCCATTTCCTATAAACCGTGCCTTTCTATTTTCTCATTAAGGTTCAAGCTTGAATCCATTTTGGCAGCTATTGTATACCATGAGACAATAATCCGAGGATTGATGAACAAGTCATTGAATCCACCAAAAAAGTGATTTTTCGACCAGTGAGAGAAATGGGATCTTCAATTCTTCAAATGTTTACTCGAATATTTCACACTGAACGACTGCATGCAAAGTGAAATAATAATCTGAAACAACCCCAAGTCCTAAATTCAAGCATATGTATTAAGAACATCTAAGTGATACAAAATGTTATCAAAGAAGCTATTCTCATCAGACAAATACCAAAAATGTCTGTAAGTAACAATGTGAAAGCCATGGTCATTCACACGACACCATTCTGCTCAGCAAAACTCTTCAAAATGGTTGAACAATATCAAAATCAGACATAAACACCAGCTGAAAGTAGCAAAAAACAATGACCCAAAGCCCTGCAAGGATATCAAGAATCAAGTATCAGTAGTGCACAAAAGTTACAGGAATTATGAATGAGACAACCCGGCCAAACAGATATAAAAGCTGTACCAGGAAGACAGATGCCACTCTCCTTGGCAAGAGATCGATTTTGCTTAGAAGAAGTAGCTTCATAGCTGCATGTTTTGGGAAAAAGAGTTTTTTCATAAAATTTCCCAAATGTAATCTCAAGCCTATAAAGCATTGTATCAATTTGGGATCTTGTTTTAGGCAATGTCAAAAGGTATAGGAATCAAAACTCTGAGAATCAAATTTTTACAAACATCAGCTGCATAAGCAAAATTAAAGATTTTTCAGGAAAACAAATCAAGTAAAAAGAAGTTTGAATAATTGAAATAGAGCATTGCTAAAGTTTACTGCAAAGAGAACTCTAAGATCTAACTACAATATCCAACTGATTTGAAATTCATTAATCTAGTATGAAGAAGTTTTAGTAGATTCAATGGTAGCATCAGTACAGTTCAATAAAAAGATACCTCCAAGTTCTACCTCTAAGTCTAGCTATGAGATCTAACGCGTATGGAGAAATTCAATATTCTCAAGCAAAACCAAGTGCGAGTAGTTTAAAGGTATCATCAATACAGTTCAATGAAAAGAGAACTCTCAGTTCTAACTAAGAAATTCAATATTCTCAAGCAAAGTCAACAAAACATGATGGAAAGATCACTTTACAGTAACAAACTAGAGGAGCTCAGATACAATTTTAAACAAGCAAAAAGTTGATCTATGGCTTTTCAAAATCCGCTCTGTGCCTTTAGGCGTTGGAATTAACAGATAAAAGTTCAAACTTGAAAACAGCACAACCAAATCAGAAAAACAAGATACTCTTTAAGACAAGAATTTTTTAAACCCAAATGGACCCAAAAGCAGACATGAAATGGCACGACTCAACTGATAATTTTACAGGACAAAGGTAAATAGAAGTGAAATGTAGTATTGTACCCACAAAAAAAAAAAAAAAAAACACACACACACACACAAAGGAAAATCATCAACTTTCAAATTCACAATTTCATTATATTCTCACAAAAAAGTTAACAGAATAAAATATAACCTGCAAATTGCCTACTAAAAATGAAATTTATTTCCAAACGCCTCATCAAATCTATAAAAGGCGCATTCAAATAAAAAAAAAATTAAGTTCCAATTAAGCTAATGTTTCCCTATCGTATTGCCTATCATCAATTTTAAATTATAAAAAAACACCCGAAATCTTGCCTCCTAAAACGAATCTAATAAGAACAAAAGGAAAAAAAAATTCAAAGAAATGGAGTGGAGGAGATAAGATCAAGGTTGTTAAATGAAGAAGGAAGCGGTGAGGACAAGACCAATGGCAAGCATGACGACGGCTAGGGTTGGGTACCACGCATCTGACACTGGACTCTTTATTGCCTTGGCAGGAGGAGCCTGAAACAAAAACATTAATCAATCAAATCAAATTCACAAAAAAAAAGAAAAAATTGGAACCCTAGAAAAGCTCCGATTTCAATTGAGAGAGATTTACCATCGATGTTTGTCTCTTGGCTTCGGATTCTTAAGGTCGATTGAAGAGAGAGGAAATAACGCGCGACCAGCAGTTGCATGTTAGTAAGACTTTTACGAGACTTCAAACTTTTAAGTCTCGGATAAATATAATAAAGGAAAAGAGTGAAAAAAAAGTTTTTTAAAGGAAAATAAAAAATACATGTAATTTTTATTTGAATAATTAAAATTAAAATAAATAAATAAATAAATAAAATTTAATAACTATTGTTTAGATAAAAAAGTGAAAAAGAAATAAAATGATTCATTATAATAATTTTTTTCAATTATAATTTTTCATTACTTATGATTTTAGAGTATTTTTAGATTATAATATGTTTATTATATTGTCTAACATCACAATTACTGTTATATCAATAGTTTTTAATTAAGTGAAATATGAAGATATTTTTTACAAAAAAATATTGATGGATCTCGAGCTAATTTCTCATTTTATAAACCCAAAAAGTATATCTATTCATATTTAATCATTCATCAAAATTAAATCATCAAAAAATAATAAAAAATTTTATATTGAAAGAGATATATGAAATTTACTTGAAAAAAATAGATGATTTTAAAAAAATTATAGGATGATTGTGATCTACTTAGATTTTTTTATTAATTTTTTAGTATTAATAAAAAGATGGACATAATTATCTTTTTATAAAAAAAATAATTTTTAATTTTTTCCTTTAATTTTTCTTCCAAATTGGAGTACTAAAAAAATTGAGTTTACAAGAGAAACTAAAGATTATTTGGTTTTCACCTATTTTCTTTTTTTTAATTAAAAATTTATCGAAACAAAGGAATGGAGTTTTGTTTTATTTACATTTATTTACTTTATTTTTTTTATTCTCCTTTCAATCAAAATACATTGTAAGGCTCGTTTGATTAGAAAATAATTTTTAAAAAATAATTTTTGTATTTTAAAATATTTATTTGATAAAAAAATTAATTGATTAATAGAAAATAATTTATTAATTAATGAAAAATAATTTTTTTAAAATTATCTTACATATTTAAAAAGAAAAAATAATTTAAACAAATTTGTCTATGTATAACTATTTATTAATACTTTTGAACATAATTTTATTTATAAATAATATTATATGAATAAATAATATACTATTAATATAATATATTAATAAAAATATTAATATATAATATTATAATATATTCATAAATAAAATTATATTAATAAATAATATTATAAATAAATATATACTAATATATTAATATTAATAAATAAATAGTATTATATTAATAAATAATATAATAATAAAATATTATTAATTCAATTAATAAATATTATAATAATATATTATTAATAAATAATATATTAATATA